GTGAAACAATGACAAATGAAGCGCAGTATGAAGCGTCTCCTTGGTCTTGGACCCAATTCCGTTCGTGCACTGACCATGTTCATTTATGCTCCGGACTAAAATGGCGGGAGCAGCTTTAGAGCAACACGTGTGCGAGTGCTGAATCCAGGTGTAGTTTGTGATCGAGACATGGATGGAGGAAAATCATGAAAGTCTAAGCTGCAGTCTCTTGATTATGTGAGGTGGTTAAACTCGTACTCTTGGTCGTTCCTGTTTGGCCAAACAGTGAGAGTGGCGAAACAGGTTTTGAGACAGCCGGTTTCGAACACAGCACAAAGAGAGAGCATACCAGGAGTCACAGAGGGGTGGTTCTTAGTCCCTAAGTGAGTGGAGTAGCTGGGAACCCCTATCCTCCAAGTTCGGCACCCCAGTGTGACTCCAGGACCTCACACTTGGTGGTTTGATGCAGCTGCTCAGTCGCGGAAGGCCTCTGAACCTGCACCAAAAACCTTCAAGCAACCTCAAAACCCCTGACCTTCCTCTCCACAGTTCCAGCTTCACAAAGATCCACATGATCTCAACCCTCCCCCTGAACCAGCTCCAAAAACCAGAACGTCCGACCACCAAGACCACCCCCAGTGGTCGGCACCAATTGGCTCTGGTTGAGCTCTGCATGAGAACAGAATAGACTCAATAGACACTGGGGAAGATTAACATGGAACCTGAAAACCACTAGGTATACTAGGTTGTAGAGGAAAATAGTTTTCCAAAGTAGAGGAACATAGTTCATTTTTCAGGTTCCATGTTGTAGTTTTCGGGAGTGTACCAAACATGGTCCATCTACCAGTGAAATGGGCTCCAGGTGCCATGACTAACCATCTGAGACCCATGCCCCCCTTGGGATTGGAAGAGTGACGCTGCATGAGGTGCCCGGCCCGCACGTAACGGACACCGCCACCGAGGAGAGATGAGGCTTCATCCGCCCAGGCTGCCGAGACAAACAAACGTGTAAAGACGCGACGAATCGGGGCGGGGCAAGTGTAACTGTCGCTTCCTCATTGATCGAAAACGCGATGTGTCCAATACACAGTTTGGAGTGGGGGAATCTATTTTTTTGGTATCCATTTGCCAGGATCATCCTGGACATGGGTGTCCTGGCGAGACCGACTACCCTATCCTCCCTATCCGTCAACCAGACCTCCAGACCTCCAGGGCACCGGGGACAGGAAGTCAGTGCTAGGTGGATGTCGGAACTGGGCGTCTGTTGCTTCGTTCCATTCCGAGCCCTTGACACCCTCCCCGCGTGTCGGCGCGGCAGCGCCGTTCTCCCAGGCACCGCCCCATAGATCTGCTTGGGCGGCTCACTGCCGTCGCTGAAGAAGGGTTTGAAGAGGCCTCCGGCACGTTCCTGGGAGCAGATCAAAGGGTTTCTGCAGTGAAACAGTTCAGTGTTCTTTTGGAATGGCGGCTAGTTGAGGGTCGGATGTCATTGGTGCTTCTGAATGTTGGGAGTTCAATGTTCAAAGACATGGGACTGGAGGAAGCACCGGTGACAAGCTTGGTTCTGATGTTAGAAATCGCAGTTTCAAACCGGATATTGCTTGTGAGTCTTGATGTGCGTTCGGAACCCCGAGATGCCTTCCCCCAGAGAAGAGGTCTGAAAATAGTACCAAGCTGGATCTTCGTAGAACAATCCATCGGAAGCGCAGGATGGACTGACAATCAGTAGTTTGGAACGTCTCAGCACCTCGAGGTGAGGATTTCAAGAGAGTTGGACCCTGAAAGGTGTCAAAGTCTGAAATTGGTGACCTCTTCTGATACCTCTTGGGCTACCAGGACCTTCCAAGCCAGGTGGATTTGGAACACTCCGAATCACCTCTAAACAGCCGAAGGTGTGCCGAAGGCGTGGAATCGGAGGACCGGAAGACGATCGGCCACCGTGCGGGAGTGAGGGCGGGCCTCAGACTTCATAATCTTCATAGCTTAGAAAATGGACACACTCCCTGGAACCCTAGGGATCCAAGTACCTTCTGAGAAGGTACTTGGACCCTCAAAACCTACATAAGAGTGTCTCCAATCACCTCCTGAGAAGGTACTTGGATCCCTCGGGGGGGCTCACATGGAAGTTGGAGTTCACTCCACTGTTTGGCCTTCGGATGACCAATATCGGGGCCATGCATGCCATCCACGTTGGCCTATGTGAGTTCCAGGGGGTGTACCCTGTTTGGTTTTTTTCCATGGGGTCATGGGGCATCGAGTCATGGTCTTCTCACTTCCGATGGGAACCTCCGCAGTGCCCGAGTTGGATTGGACAACTCAAGACCATCATCCTCCTCGACCTTTCAAGCGGTGCCCTGGCCGGAGATCCAGTCTAGTACTGGGCTGGGGCTTCCAGGTGACCCCAAACTGGTATGTTGACTCATGTTGACTCTTGATTCATAAAGCCTCCCATTGAAATACATGCAAACGACCATCTATAGGTCGCAAGGCACCTAGCTAGAATCAACAGTCAACAATCATATCCCCGAACACTCCATTGGACTGGCATATCTACCTACCTGGAAGGACGGGTGCCTGCTGCGGATGTCTGCTGGCGTTGGCCTGACTCCCGACCCAGGGGTTCCCTGGAAGTTCACCTTCCAGCAGTCACAAGTCGCCCAAAAAGACATGCGGGAGTTGTGAGGATGTTGCATGACTTTGTACAATGGTTTCAGAGGTTCGATTCATGGCACGCCTGGGCCCAAAGTTTGGTGGTTTATATGGACCCCATCTATGTCAGACATCTAAAAGACTTTGTGCCATCGAACTTCTGAAACCACTGTAGGTGATGTAAGGATCCTATGTCCTATCCAGTCCCCTTTGGAACGCCGGCGAGTTCGACCGTACTGTGGGCGCGAGCTTCTCGCCACCCCCCCGCGTTCGTTCGCTCCAGTGAGGCCCAGTGGCGTGTTCTTTGAAGAGTTCCCACGCAAAGCTGACCGACAGGAATTCCACCAAGGGCAGGGCCACAATGATGGCTACCTAAATGGCCCAAGAAGAGGTGGTGAAAGCTCAACTGACCCTGCGATTGCTGGCCCACCATTGTTTAAACTAAGGATTGGAGACTTGCAAAGCCCAGGTCAACCATGGGTCAACCTTTCTTTTCAATGGTCGAACGGAAGGCGAAGGAGAGGATGTTTCTCAAGAAACACGGATCCTCTCGGCCTGCGGCTGCCCTGTGGGGTGTTCTTCAAATGGGCGGCGAGCGGGCGCTTTGCCATCAAATTGTGGATGGTGCATCTCGAAATGCAGGATTCTGCATTGATCATGCATTTATAAATACTTATCCCTATATAGCACTTCCAACGGGTGCCCAATGGAGACCTGTAAGTAGGGTAGGGTAGTCTATTGGACACCCATTGGTAAATATGATCTTAATAATTAATCATACAACCCAAAGGTCCAAAGTGACAGTAAAAAACATGGCCCTGAAAACCCCATTGAAGAGTGGCACTTTGTATGAGCTTCACCACCTGTCGGCATTCTGAAATGGATTGGTGGAGGACAAAAGCGCTTGGTAGTTTGTCAGTGTCCTACCCAACACCTGGAGGGTGGAGATTAACAAACATGATCACATGTTAGGGTGTCCTATCCCAGGGCGTTCAGTTACCACGAGAGCTCGCTGGTAACCAGTGGTTCCAAAAACTAACACTATAGAGCTAGAATCCCTAGTTCCTTATATAGTACCTGGGATGCACTGGGTATGGTATTCTCCATAAAGAATGTGAAGGGGGGGAAGCAGCAGCAAACTCTGACATGATGTGTCCCGGCGGAATGCTCCACCTTCCCCAAGCATGATACATTCCCAAACCATCCATGGGGCTGGAATAGTTACATGTTACATTTACGACAATGGCCCGTCCATGATCATCCATGTAACTACCTGGAGTCTGAAAGTACCTCGGAAAATGGGCACAAGTACCTGTTTGTTTGGGGTCATGTCCCATTTTTGAAGGTACTTGAAGTCGACTCCAGGTGTTTGAATCGATACATGGAGGTGCCTGTGGGAAGGGGATTGTCCTGGACCGGCACTGGACCGATCACGTCCAGCCGCCTTGAGGAATTGCAAGTGGAAGGTCTCCATGATCACACCCTCAGCGTGAACTGTTCACTGCCGGAGAGACGATTTTGGGGAGACGAATTGGTCCAGAAGCTCGGTAGGTGGAGCAATTGTGTCCTTCCAGTAATTGTCTGCGCTCTCATGTTTCTCACTTGGGAAGCAGGAATTCACATGGGACATTCACCATGCCTAGGTCTTTAGGGATGCTCAAGTCTCACTTCCTTCCGAACTTCCGCTTCATGTCTGAAGAGGACGTGAGGTTGCTGGTTGGAGCACCGACCTGGCTAATCTGATTTCGAAACCGCCCTGCGCTGGCCAGTGTAGAGATGTGGCCCGTCTTGTGAATTGAAAGACGTCAACCACCCCTAGCAGCCCTAGCATGTGCCAAACTTTTCCCAGACACTCCATGGGACTGCCATATATGCCGCCCCATTGACCCCTCAAACCACCCCAATGTAGGCATATATGGCATACATGGAGTGTCTGGGTTTTGTCACACAAAATCCTCGAAGGATCCATTCGAAGTGACTCCTTGTGCACCCTTTCCCGTCGTTCACCTTTCACAACTCCCAAATCATCTGCTTGATCTGCATGCTGCACATTGCTGTACACTCCTTGGAAGTCTGACCATTGAAGAGCTGAGCCTAACGCACCGTCCTCAAAAGCCCTGGTGCAGAAATGCAGGGAGCCTCGACATACTTCGAAACCCCCCTTCCTCCCGTGTGGTTGTGTTTTGTAGTTTACATCGGAACCGAAGAAGCATCAGGAAGCGCACCACATCTTCCCATCCCAAGTTCTCAACATCTGACAAACGCACACCTCACAGAGGTTGGTGCTGGTTCCCACCCACTGAAATCGCCGGGGTGACTGCTCCAGACCAGCAGAGGTTGAAGAACCCTATAGAGACTATCCTATGAGTACCCCAAGTTTTCCGGGTCATAGTTCGGGTCACTCTCCACCTCTGTTGGGACTAAAGACCCGCGGTTCCAAAGCCCCTGAGTCCGATGACGCCCTTTTTTGGCGCACTCACGGCCGCGGGAAGAAGCTCGCGGCCCCATCCACGCATCCCTGGAGAAAACCGCTGCCCCAACGCTTCTGCAGAAGGAAGGTGTTCACGTGTGTGGGGTTCCTCGCCGGCGGACTAGTGGACGAAGCCCAAGGATACAGCTTTCAACATCAATTCCTCCCCTCTTCGGGATCAGCCCTTTTTTTAGCTTTTCCATGTTTTTCCCTATATGGCCGGCTAGGGCCGCTATCGCCACTTGCAACTTCCTCATCTTACTTCCAAAGGTCTGGAAGTGACGATGTTTTCAGGGGTGCGAACGAACACGGTCATTTGAGTCATGGAGGCTAGCTGAATAAGATTTGATGATCCGATATTCGGTGGTTGGATCAATGACAGGGCAACTGTATGCAATGGTTCAGTCTTCCTCAAAGACTCAATTGCTTGAGTTTAAGGGGGGGGCCCTGACGGTATATTTATTAGTTTGTTGCTAAGGTTCCCAATCAAATTGGACACCGCACTGACGCAAATCGACAAACCACTCACGCATTCGAAACCACCAGTTCAGTATGTTCGAGTGAGTAAGGCTGCATCGAATATTCAATGCAAAATGAAATTATTTCGCACAAATCCAGCTTGTCAGCACAAGAACCTGAACATTTACCAAACCAGTCCTGCATGCCTTGAAGCATGCCTCAATTCCCATTTGCTTCTCTGCCGTGCAAAAACACCGAGGGTGACCCCCCAAACACCTGTTCGCCGACTCAACAAAGCCCAGCATCGTGGCGCAAAGGAGTTCTTCCAGCTGGTAGATCTCTGGCAAATCCTCTGGAGACACCTCGCGCGGCGCCGAGGGTTGCCTCGGGAAGCGAGAGTTGCGCAGCTTTAAGAAAAAACAGAAAGACATATACGCCATACGCCATACATGCGTTGAAGGCATGAGAAGAGTGTGGAGGGCATGGGAACGGTGTGCTAGTTGGTCTGGATCTTCTGGAGAGTTTTCTGTATCCACTTCCTTCGAAGGGTTGCGCTCAGTTTGCATAGTTTATGTTCGCAGGGCCACTGGTGAGAAGGTTTGCACACTGATGTTTGAATGGCCATCTTACGCATCAAGTTGTGCGAGCAAATTTCAAACATGTTCGCACCTGTTGAGTCTTAGCAAGGCTCTCAATGATGAGCTTTATGTGAGGCATGTATTAACTGCTTGTAATTGTAATGCTATGATTCTCGGGCATGTGCGACAGAAGCATGTGGATGTACTCGAAGCTTTCGCCATGGAAACATGAGTTGGCGCGTTTTACACTGTTAAACGCCGTGTATTCTGAGGGTGTCCGACATGAGGTCCGCGGTGAGTCGCGTGGTTGGTGTCTTTTTTCACAGCGACCACAACGGCTGCTTGAAACATTGGGACGGTGCACTGAGGCCGTTCGCTGGGTTCGGTACACGGCTCTGATCACGGCAGTCCGACGTTGAAACAAGAAGTCGTGCCGACACACGAAGCCTATAGCATGTAAAATGTGATCCACCAGGTCACCAGACGGAGGCCAACTGCGATGACGCTGTGACACCGATGATCGTGTTGCGATACCAATGATACTGCTACGATACCTGGTACCTTCCCTGAGAACCCCCCGTCTCGCGGGTCACAAGAACCAGAAACAAATAAATGTTTCCTCAGTCCCGGGGTCACTCCCTATGTGAAGGACCTCCATCAAGATATTGGAATCGGAACAACCATTTATCATATATCACTGTCACAGTTCTCAGGATTTCTTCGCGGGGAGAGAGGCAACCGAGGCTATCAGTTTGGGGACTGGTGTCCAGGAGGAACTGTAATTATTTGGAAGACATGACTATGTAAATGCATTTATATATAACTATATATATATGTCTATAGAGTTTTTGTTGACCCCAGACTCTTGTAGCTTCAAACATGCCAACTACCCGGGCCCCTGTATAGCAAATAACCGCATACAACATATATGAGGGAAAGGATGAATGGAACGGTTCCGTCTGCATGGCCCTAACAACGCCCTAGGACCCTTTCCCAGGTCATTCTTCTATGCAGTTCGGATTTGAGCATAAAGTTTAAAAACGATCAGGACACAAAAAACACAAAAAGAAACAGCCCCATGTCTAGACTCCTCCAACCTGGTCATCCATCTCACCAGTCTCTATGAGTCGTCTCTGTCTCTGTCACACTTCCTCCAGGCGACGGATGCTTGGACTTGGCATAAGCTACCTTCAAATTCCGACATGGCGCTGCACAATCGGGGCGGGACTCGAACTCATCCTGGGATGGGCAGAATGGGAACCTGGGAACTGATGGTTCCCCATCTTCCCCACCTGGAACTGAGGGTGCTGGCAGAAGGTGATTTACATGGATTGACCCATCAGATGAAGAGAAGAAAGCACATACACCAAACCAGGCATCGCAAGTCAGACTCAACTGTGAGATGCTTGAGCGCAAGGACGTCATCTGCTCCAGGTCAGGTGAACCTAGCCTTGGAAAAAGACAGGGAGAGATCGAGACTGCAGGTGGGAAGGCATTTGGCAAAATGCTGCTAGGAAGAAAGGTCCAAGTAATAACAGAAAGCTTGGAATGATTTCCACCTGGACCTCGATCTTTTGTTGGACCAGTTTCCTCGTTCCACCAATTCAAACTCATTGGCAACGCACAGGGCTTCCTTCTCCATCTTTACCCAACACGCCACCGCAAATTAGCATGGTCTCGTGTGTTTGTTCACATTTGTGTGCTCTCATGTTGTGTGTGGTCCTTCACAGGCGTGCTCTGTCTATGTGTGTGCTCGCTCATGCCCGTGCTCTCATCATGGTCCATACGAGCATATGCGAAGCCACAAACCTGGGGAATTTCGGATACTGTATGGGCAAAGGTGACAAGCCTTCAGCCCAGCCGACACCTCCATCCAAGTGACGAGAGCAAATCCAAAAGACTCTGAGGCAAAGGCAAAGACTCTGAGCCAAAGAGTTCCTTAAGGCTGGCGTTGTCCGCTGCATAGGTTTCGGCTTTCGACACTGCAAGGGGACAAAGATACAGTAGATCAAGAACGAGAAGGAGTTGTCTGCCTGTTACCCTCAAAGGATTCGTGAGACTCGGCAAACGCAGTTGTGATCAGTGATCAGTTCAAACAGGGAACAGAGTCTGCATCCCGTACAGTAAACCTTTTTGATCCCTTTTGATCTTCTCCCCACCTACAAGGCATACTCCATGAACAATGCAGCTCCGCACGGAAAACGTAAAGAATACTATAAGATACTATAAGCATCCATAAGCACCCGGTGGTCCTGGCACCTTTGGGTGACCATTACAGGTCAAGTGGCTACCGGTGCGGATATCAAACCCTCGATGATTCCTCTTTCTCTTCCGGTCTGGCTCCGGTGTGGTTTGGTCTGCGTGCCCGGTTTCTGAAAAGCACTGCATGGTTCATGAGGCTGGCTTAGCGGCTGTGTTCCCATGTGTGGCTCCTTTCTCACGTTTTGGGTCTATTCCTATATCGCCAGGTTCCACTCAACTGATGATTCCGTTGGCTCTGGTCACCTCAAATAGCGCTTGGCTGGTGAAACCTGGCCCCCAGCTTCCGCACCCAACCCCCCCCATCCTCACGGTCCAGCACCCATCCACCGGTCGCCAGCCGGAGACCAACACCCCGTCGCTCCGTCCTCCGCAGCGAGGCGCATCGAAATACAACACCAGTGTGGTCCCACCAGCGGCTTTCACGCGGGGCACCGGATCCAAATTACCTGCCGCATCGGCGACTGGAAGGTTTGGGCTCCACAAGACGTCGGTCCGGACGATGGGCTCCACCAGTGGACCGTGTTCCGACATGCCGGAAGCACATCATGCCCATTCTTCAAGTTTGGTGGTTTATATGGACCCTGATCGACAAGTCACCTTGGGGGTTGTGCCATCTATATACTTTGAAAACACTGTATACATCTGTATATATACACTGATCTTATCTTCGAAACATCTCAAAACCCCTATGTAGGCAAAAATTGCAGTCGCATGGATTGTCTGGGATGGGAAAGCTTCACTTGAATGATGGCATGACAAACTCCCAATGGCACTCCAGAAAAACGGGTCTTGTGGTCATGCATCTCCTCCGCGACCGTTGAAAAATGTTGAAAGCCACCCAGTCCACGTCACCAAAACAACAGTCATTTCGAGGCATTGCGTAATATTACACCCTAAGGATCCAAATACCCTCTGAGAAGGTGTTTGGGGTGGGTTTGGAGGGTCCAAGTACCTTTTGAGGAGGTACTTGGATCCCTAGGGACAGTATCCGATGCATAAACAACATGGAACTTGCTTTTGGGAATGGGTGAATCACATCTGATCGAGTGGGTTTTCATCACTGCCACGGGAGGGCCGGCATGTTCTTCTTGTCTGGTCCCTGGGTCACCTCCGAAATCTGGCAAACAGGCCGTGACATGCATTTTCTAATCCCCAGACACTCCATGGGACTGGAATAGTTAGAGTTGTAGACATTTACCAAATGAAAATGACCCATCCATGTATCGTGCTTCCTACCCGCGCGGAGTGGTCTTCCTCGGCATTTTTTCACCTACCCACAGGAACCATAGAGTTCGGGAGGACACCCTCAGAAAGTATCTTTGGGAGCACCAACCCCTACAAGTAGGAAGCATCATATTGTATTCTATAACCATTTTTTCCAAGAAACATCCTCAAACAACTGCAGCGCAATGCATTGTGTCTATAAAATGCCGAGGGGTGAGCCCCTAAAAGAAATGACCAGACACGCGAAGTCATGTAATTGTTCTATACATGGACCGGGAACCACCCAAATAGGCGTCCAAAGCAGTCGCTTGAGCTTGTTGCCTTCGCTGATAGCCTCCCATTGCAGCACCAGGCTCACTACCTCGCTTGCCTTGGGATTCCTCACCCACACTTGCTTTAATGGATTGAAAACCGAACAAGCATCGTTTTGTTCTAGTATGTTGGGTGATTTCGGACTGGACCATATGCAAAATCAGTGCATGTTTTACCTTTAAAAACATCTTGGAAGGCTGGCTAGGGCACCCTGCCACCCCAAAGGCCCCATGAAAAAATCATAGCTCCAGGTGATGACCTGCTTCCACCCTCACCCTGTGAACCCTGTGCTGTCACTCCCCTAGGCTGCTCCAGGCGGCCCAGGTATTCGCCCACGAAGTCGTTCATGGGTTCCGCCCGAGCAGAGCGCTTCTGACGGAGCCACAGTTGGGCATAGTCGCGGAGGAGCACCACCAAGCTCGTCCTTCGGTGGAAGAACCCGAACTAGACTATCCTGTACCTGGACCTTCAAGGGGTGTCCAATGGAAGTCCCTAAGTAGGGTAATTAGGGGCTTCCATTGGTGACCCCTTTGAAGGTGCTGGTAGGTACCCCAGGTGGTCACTTAACCTCTGTTGGTTGCGGAGTGATGGAACAAGCTCGTCGCACGGAAGCGCAGTGGGATCAAACGCCCGGGCCGGTACGTGGGTGCCATTCAGGGTACGTGGCGCGAGCGCTTGCCGCCCGGGGACTGGCGTGGACTGGCGGCTGGACTGGTAGTTTCGGACAGCACTCGGTGGCGAAGGTCGACTTAAACGGATTGAAATGTCTGCGAGCAGTTAAACTGGTCGCCTTGAACCTCCCCTTTTGAATTCAGAACAGGTCCAGTGTTACGGGGTTCCTCTGGTTGCCATTGTCCACCCAAGAGGATTCTTAGATGGTCGATGTTGAGATAATTCGGCCTGCCCAACCCCCCCCTCGATGTTCCAGCGGATGCTCATGAACAATGAAGGGCTGGAGTGGAGTCCGCTGCCAAACATGCACACCTCAACCCCTCGCAGCCTCCTCCCTTCGCCTCCCACAGACTAACGAGTACCCCGATCACTGACCAGTCCGCCCTGCTTGTGCCACTGGGGCACAGCGAGGCAAAGGGCGCCACTTTCCGCGCTTCGAAGCCACTGTGCGCCACCCATGCAATGGGTGCCATTTGCCCATTCACCTGGGGCATGGAGCCTGCATCCGTCAGAACGCGGCCGGAAGGGCGGCTGTTCGGCGCGTATCTCTGGGGGGTTCGGAGAAGGATGAGATCAAAAGGAGGTTGGGAACTGATGGGATGTTGGGCGCAACTTGGTGTTTCGATATGTTTCTTCGGTCCCTTTTTTGCAACTTGGTGGGTTCCGACTCGATTTCTGCGCTCCATCTCCATGCATCTCCAAGCACTGGCCCCTGTAGGATTCCTGGTCCATGGATTTAAGGGGTCTGACTCCCCTAGAGCCGAGCTGTTTGACGAAGCCTTCGGGTCGCAAAAACAAGGAAAAACATGGACAAACCATTTTAAACATGGCCGACTGCTTACTGGCAGGCATGTACATTTAATCATGGGAACACCTTCACTATACTGCAACTCTGGATACGCTCCCTGGAATTTGATGACCCAGATTTTGGATGATCTTATTGTTCGGAACAAGGGCCTTGCCGAGATGGAGTGGTTTTCACCACCTCCATCTTAGGGCGTTTGACACGTTGGCCCATGATGAATTCCATTGAATTTCAGGGAGTATAGCCCCGCCTCGGCCCCCAGAAGTTGCACTCATTCTGCCTGGAAAGCACTCGACAAGGCTGTTCCCTCGCTGGGCATAGAAGCCTTCCAAGGCCGGTGTGGGGCGGCCAGAGAGCAGCTCCAACCATAGCCGCACGTAGGATTGTCCAGATCCTGATCGGATCTAAGGGCCCTGAAATTGAAAAGACATCTGGATCCGTCCTGCTTGTTTTGAAAGAAATCCCATCCCAGGTCTGACTCTGAATCATTTCCTCACAGACTTTCAACCCTCACCCTCACCTGTCTGTAAGATGGAGATTTGACGTGGGCAGCCACCAAAGGCTTCAGCTGCCAAATGGCCAACTCCCGACTCTAAGTTAAGTGGCCCAGGTCACATATCCAAGACATTCTAAGACTAAACGCCTCGGGTTTATATATGATATCACACACACATGCACACATGCATATATATCCCAAAGAGCTATACATGTAATTGGCCTTTGAATTAAAACACATTGAAACTTGTGGACCTGAATCTCATCCCAAAGCAATCCCACTAGATGATGCTAAGAGATGCAACTTGTTCCCAACCTTCTGAGGTTCTCAAGTTTCAGGGATTCCGAAAAAGCTTCAGGATTTTTCTGCCTCTTCTTTTGGTTCCCGATCCCTGGTTCAAGTGAAAATGGCTAAGCCAAATATTGCTTGGCGCCTTAGGCGTTCTAGGCGTTCAGTTGGTGGCCCAGGCTGATAGGCTGCATGCTGCATCTCTCCAGTCGTTCGAATCAGGGTGCACTGGAGGTGTTCGCCACATTCGAGCGATGCATCGGGCGTTGGGTTTCAACCGGCGATCGTGGACCCGCGCTCGTGCGCACCAAGTCGTCGCGGTAGCGCCCGCTTGTCCGCTCTGCTCCCTGGGAAACCATGTACGTATTGTATACCCAGACGCGACCCATGGGACTGGATTATATGCCAATCAGTTGGGGTGGTTTGGGGGGTCAATGTAGGCATATATGGCAGTCCCATGGAGTCGGAGTGTATGGGATACATACCTTGAAATAACTGCAGCATTGAAGAATCAATCCAAACACTAGTCGACTAGTGGGGACGCTCTTCCATTTCACCAGCAACTGCGACTCCAGACCTTCTCAGCACCACCTTACGCACCACGAAACGGCTCCACCGCTGGGCTCCTGCCATTGAGAGAATGAGCCGTTGCTGTGTGAGGATGGGCAGTGTGTGGTGCTGGACGATGTATTGCCCAAAGTTCTTGAGGTCCGTGAAAGACCTGGAGCACTCAGCGCTGGAGTGCTCGGCGTGCGTGGGGGCCGCAGGTCGGCTTACGCAGTCAACATGAGAGGATGAGGGGTTGGGATGGGGGACGGATTGGCAGGATGCTGCCGCTACGTACAAGGTCTTAGTTGATCTGGGAATCTCACTGACCTCTGTCCTCTTCCAACCTCTGAAGCTCCTTTTGGGGTCGAAGCCCCCACGCCGCCCCAGCCCACTACTATCGGCGATCTCGGACTAGGACACCCCGAAAGGAGGCCCAGGTGGATCCAAAGCCCGGTCCGTCCGCCTCCGGATGGTTCAGGTCCACCTCTGCATCCATCTTACACGAAAATCGAGGGACCCGATGAACTTAGAGAGAAGGTATGAGGGACCGGAACTGGAGGGACCCAAGGATTCTTGCTCAACCCTGGAAGCTCGACTATACTTAGGACATTCCCTGAACCGATCCGCTGAGGTGGACCTTTCTTTGTATAGTCGACTGGACTCGCAGGGCTCAAGGAAAGAAACACGACATCAGTGGATGGCACCCCCAGCCACCTCAGATCCTGGGCCCATGCCACCCACTTCCGACCCCATATCTTCTGGCGAGTGAAACGCGTGCGAGTGACCGCTCACGCGCGCGGTTTTTCGCGGCGCCGTGGCCCGAGGCCAGCTCGCCTTTCATGGGAGTGAAGGTAGGAGAACAGGGGCTGTACCCGCAGAGGTCCAGAACCCAGCACGCCCCAGAATGCCTGACTGCCAAAGTCCTCCTCGGCTGTTCATGGCTGTTCCATGAATGAGACGTCTAGCCCGCATAAAATGCTCTTTATAAAAGATGCAGGGAAACTCAATCTTGGAACAAGCAAACATCCCAAGTCAAGGGAGTGGAGCAAGGCAACCGCTTTGGGGGTACTCCAATCCGCTACAACCTATCCCACGGGTGGCCATGTGCAAAAAAAAACATTACCAGCGACAGCTTGTAGAGGTGCTGAATCACTAGGGTTCAATGACACGAGTCTTTGGAGGCGGGGCATGAGCGACACGAGTCTTTGGAGGCGGGGCATGAGCGATAGAGTCATATTATAAGTCCTTTTTCTGAAGTCCTGCAGGTCTAGTCTGGGTACAGCCTGCTGAAAGTTGTACCTGCTCACAGGTTGCACCATTGATTTTCGTGGTAACCAGCGAGAGCATAGATGTTGCTGGACCCCCAAAAAGACATGTTTCATTGATAGCCCTCCATCATCCAGAGTCCTACTATACATGAGTCTTTCATTATAATTCCATCACATCCAACTTGTGGCATCATATTTACCAATGACATATATAAATGCCTCGCCTGCAAGGTGGCACCTCCACACATTCATCGCACCACGCAGCGGGAGCTCGGGTCGACCCCAACTTCGATTCTGCACGAGCCTGTCAAATCCGTCTCTCTCACACACACCCCTCCCTACTCCAGAAAAAGAAAAAACACGTCACAACCTGGCACTTCCTGTTGGGTGCCATGTTTGGAGACCTGTTTACGTAAGGTAGGGTAGTCTATTGGACACCCAAACAGCATGATCCTGGAAGGTTTGGATGCCAAAAATTGGAAACATACCATGATCCAAGTCCACTGGGCTTGGGTTCAATGTGTATTTGGTAGGTGAAATGGGAAGGCCATCTCTGACAGGGTGCCCAGAGATACCGAAATGTCCCACTTTTGGTCCCTCAAGAGGGTTGAAATCTGAGTCAGGTGAAGAGGACTGAGCACCAAGGTCCACTGGACACCAAGTCCGAAACAGTTCCCAATGTCTTACTGCTGGGTTTGAAGAGAGTCTCTCCTAGCGCCGACTCTGAAAGGGTGGGGGTTCCAACGAAAAAATCGCATATCAGCTTTGATCCAATGTCCCAGATGCACATGCCTATAGACTCTCCAAGCTTCGAGCTCGGTATTCTGAAAGGCTGTCCCATGGCCAAAGCCTCCGTATTGGTTCAAGGTCACCAGCCTTACTTGCCGAAAGAATCTGAGAAATGGGAAAGACGTGACGGTCAACCTAAATGAAACCTGATTCAAAAGCAGGACATCTTTCGGTCAGTTCCGCATGTTCAAAGCTCGAGTTTGACGATCTGAGCTGCCCGGTTTGTACAAAGCTCTCGTCCTCCATGTACTTCAGCCCATGCACCAAAACCGGCTTCGAGCACCTGACCGGTCGGAGTCCCGGCAGCGCCGGAAGCCCATGCTGGATGGCGCTAGCGCCCACAGGGCCAAGCAGCGCGCACAGCGCCACCGTCGGTGCCCCCCACACTTCAAGAGGAGGGTCAAAAGCCATTGAAGGGACCTCAAACCCTCTGGTGGAACCCACCAGTGTCCTTCATGAAGCATTCATTACTCTCAGCCAGGTTCACCTGGCGAGTGTCAACTGGGAAACCTCAACACCAGAGATGGACACCCCTCGGTCACCAAATGCATTCAATTATCCCAATCAATGAACGCCACAGAAACTACTTGAACAGTTGAGAGCCTTCACCCCAAAGCCGACGAAGGTCCAATGCTGCTGAAATACGAAATTGATCTAAATTAATGTGCGTAAGTGGGAGATCACAAGAATGGACACCAAAAAAGCAGCACCACGGATTTCGGGTGTCCATAGCCCCTCAGGGGGGGCAAGCGGTGTCCCTTCACCATCCCTTGGGGGGTCCAGGAACATGTGTATTCCAACCCACGGATCGAGCTCCAACCGTAATAAGGGTGGTATAAACACCAGCCAAGCCAGCCAGCCCTTGGAATCGGTCGGGGCGCAAGAAACCAAATTACTGTGCTTGCTTGAGGCCCCTCAAACTCTCATCATCCCCTGGCTTTCGCCTTGAGTGCCGCTTCTCCCTGTCACTGGGCAAACTGTTCGCTGTGCAAACCACCATGGCCAAATCGTCGGTGGAACGAGCAAAGTCGTGACCCAAGGCCACATGAACCACCAGCCTGGCATGTGAGTAATGAAGGAGCATCTACAAGCACAATTTAGGCCAGATATGCATCGGCTGCATCGGTACGACTTACTACTTCTCCCAAATATGTGTTCCATGATTTTCCATGGTTTTCCCGTAGGTTTGCTGGTTTTCCATGCGACCTGAGACCCTCACATGCCCGGTGGTGCCATCGCGGAACCGAGCAGAGCATCAGATGTTCGACGCGACTCACGGGACCTCCCATAGGACTGCCTATACACCCTAGGGCTCCTGGCCCACCTCCGTTTCGAAGATGGTTGGGGTGGGTTTGGGGGCTCTAAACACCTTCTGAGGATATGGGCCAGGAGCCCTAGGGACATTAAGCCCTCTGGCACCACCCCAACTGATCGGCATATATACCATACATGGAGCATCATGGAGCGTCTGGGCAAAGGAGTGAAGCCCCACAGTTGCGACCCAAACACCACTGAAAACACCACAGTCTTGGGGCTCCAATGATGACTTCAGAAGGTCAACCCTCCCAACTCGAGTTGCTTAGGGCAAGTAGCTTCTCTCTGGACCTTTGGGCCATCCAATGCGCCAGCGTAATGGCCCAGGACTCCCAATGAGGAGTCTCCAGCAAGGTGCCCTGACGTGCATCATCAACCTCCTCATAGAAGTCGAAGGGCAAAATCAGCACACAGCGGCTGGTTTGCATGGCCTCTCCTGTGTTTTTCCCAGCTGAAGTGGCTGGACAGGTTTTTTTTTTATCACTCATGGATGGCTCCAAAACGATCGAGTCAACAGCGAGGCAGGGTCCATTTGGAGCGTTCCGAGGGTCGGAATTCTCCAACCATGGGCGTCCGTGGACACAGGTTGAATGCAGCAGGTTCCAACCCGAGCCATGTGGCTTGGTTGGAACCGCTGATGCCAGGGGAACCGCAGAAAAAAACCCAATCCCGCTCTCCCTGCATCGTCCTACTAGGTGTGTCAGTTCAGTCCGCAACGGGAAAACCGACTTTTTGGATCGATCCTCCCCGAAAAACGATCTGTGGATCTTTCTCAAGTTTTGCCAGCACAGCTTGGCCCCTTTGATTTGTTCTGCAGCATTGGTTAAGATCTCAAGCCCAGCACATACCCCAGTTCAGCCGTCGGCCGGAGGAAGCGTGGGGTTGAAAAAAGCAAACGTTTGGCACGGACGCTTTTGCTCCAGCAAAACATGTATGTTTCCAAATGCAAAGGCTTGTCTTGCAGAGTTGGAACTGAAGTGCCAAGTCAGTATTGGGCATCATGAGTACGGAATGGTTCATGCAAAAACCCATAGGCTGACTCATCTTTTGCCACTTCTAGGCCCTGACTCTTTTTGGGCCTCGGATTCGGAAACTCACGGATCAACATGTTGTGGCATCGAGCAAGCACATAAAATTCCAGGTCTGTTTCATCGCCCCCACTTCGCAGCGAAGTAAACCCCGACGATGTGACGATGTGACCTCGAAACAAGAGTTCGTTGGAATCGATCGACTTGAGACTTCAAGGAGGGTAAGAACTTGATCAAATCTTAATCAAAGCTCTGAAAACGTCCAAAACAGTCAAATCATCAGACTCATCAGACTGTTCAGAACGTGATTCGCCACGTTCAACCGAACAAGACCCACCAGGAAGACTCCCTGCGGTCAACGATCAAGCACCTCCCAACAAATGCACCAACAGTATTGCACCTACAGTGTAACCAAGGAGCTCTAAATATCAAGCCAATCCATCTAGTAATCTAGCATACTGTCTCTAATAATATATATACAGTATATATGAAGTTATATGTTTAATATCACACCTTCTTCTCATCATCCATGATCATCCTCACCACCCCACGCCACACACACTAAAGCACCACCAAGTCTCCCACGGTGTCCGTCAGCATTTGCCTGGCCAGGTCCAGGTCCTCTGGTAGATCCACCAGTTGGACGACCGTGCAGCTGCTCTGCCACACCTGGCACAAATGCTCCGCCACGTCGCTGCCCAAGGGGCCTCGTACCAGAATCAGCAGCGCCTGCCGGTTTTCCTGGGGCGCAAACCGAAGGGAGCGAGACAGGACAAGAGCCACACCTGCAGGACCGGACCGAAGACCGATACCGGACCCGAAGCGGGCCCCGAGTTCGTCCGGTTCTCTGCAGGTGACGAACCGGGGGATCTGACGGATTGAACACTCTTCCGCATCGAAGTCTCGTGTAGACTTTTTCTGAAGAGTTGTCTTTCAATCCATGTCTGGGGGTGTGATTCATCGATTCCAAGCTGATTGGACACCAGCTTGGGCATATAGAGTTTGGGTCCCAACCCTTCCTTCGGAGTACCAGGGTTTTTGGACCGAACCAACATGTACCACTTTGTGTGGAGCCTTAAGGACAGGAGAAATCATCTGTCCCCGGCTCTGCACCAATCAGTCCGCGTTGGTGCAAAGCCTGGTTTGCAGGTTCATAATGTATACACAGTTTTCCCTTAGTCGACATGTATAGACTCAGCTTTGCTGTTGGAAATTGTGTAAGCTGCAGTATATATTTAGAGTTTGCTCTTTGCATCTATGTGGTTGAGCGGCCTAAGATATGTGAGATGCCCCCTCCAAACAAAACAATTGCACAAAACACCGGCAATAAAACAATGTCATGCTGCAAAAAAAAAACAACTGGAAACCATGCAGAATGTCTGACTGCTTCAACACATCATGTCACTGCTTCAAACAATTCCCCCAGTCTCCAGTGTTACTCCTGGTCTCCATCACCAGCCACCACTCGGTGCACTTCTGCAAGTCTTGCAGGATCGCCTGCATCCGCCCGGAACGTGGCCCGTTGGGTCGTCTCCATTGAAACCGGTCAGGACCGGCAAGAGTGAACCTTCGCCGACCTTGTGTGAGTGTAACATGTGCAGTCCGTCCTTATGTGAAACACATGTGAAGCAATTGTTTTTTTCCCGGTCAACAAGCACATGAAATCCATCGTGGGCCAGGAATGCTATTTGCAGAAAACAACCCGAAGATCCGCTGAGTTGGGCAAAGACTGTGCCGAGAGAGGAGTAGAGCGGGTGGTTGCAAGATATTGGGAAAGTTCCAAGCAGGGGGCTGTAGGAACCTTTAGAAAGGTCGTGTGAAGAGTTCATTTCTGCTACAGTATATAGGTTTTAAGCTGACAAAGCCAATTGTTAACTTGGGCGCGTATTATCCTGCAAAGGTTCCTGCAAAACAAACGCTGGAAATCAAAGCTTTGACCCAAGAATATCCAATCGTCGCGCGCAAACAAGAAAAAAGGAGTCCAAGATAGTCCAAGGTGTTAGGTGTTAGTTCCGGGATGCAGTAGCATGGCAAAGGAACACGCGCCAAAACTTCTAACACTTTGAATCAAAAAAACATCGACATGTCACAAGATCTCCAAAATCTGCAAGCCGCCAGTATAGTACACAAAAAACATATATTTATAGATATTATCAGACTATGATATAATATGGATCTTATATATAAGGCCCCCCTAAGGGTTGTCTATTCATATCCCCCTATAGAGCCTTCGAGGTCAAACGGGGGTGTCTATTAAACAACCACACATCTCATCTCGTTTGACACGAATTGTCAAACCCTTCGCCTGTACGGCCCAGCCGCGGGCTTCGGAAGCCTTGACCGTTGGAGTCGGCTGAAGGAGCAGCAGCAAACGAATGGCTCCCTGCACCGTGCCTTGCGCCCACTGGTGCCGATCGAAGCCCTCCAGTGCCCGCAAGTAGCGGGGATGAAAGCGCCAAAGAGACGCCGAGTTGTCGGAAGCACAGGAAACATCGGACCTGCCAGAAAAATCAGCTGATCAATACAAAACAACATCTATCTTAAAGCCAATGTCCAAGGATCATCCACCGAAGGATTGATTCTTTGCCGCGAATTCGCACCAGTGACTCCGTGCCTTTGCCGAACCATGTTTGTTGCCGGCACCCTCCAACAGGTGTTTGACCAAAAAACACGCTGTTAGCCTGTGTTATGGTCCCAAAAACAGCCTGGCCAGGAAGGTCCTGGCACTGAATTCGCCAGTGTTCAACTTCGGGTGTAGAAGCACCTTCATCCACTTGGCATGGTCCAAAGAGCCGGATTTAGGTGTGCCAGCCGCACCAAAAAGTTCTACATGTTCTATGCCAAACCCGAAATGGAAGGAACTCCAGGAAGGGGCATGATTCTGAAACACAACGAGCCTAAGAATGTCAACTAGTGGACGTCCGTGGGCACTGCAGTGGGCTGCTACCCAAGAGCTACTACATTGGACTTTTGATGCTTGAGCAGTTACCTTTTGAGTCCTGTCATCACCTCTTTCAGGGCCGACCTTCGGCTCTCTTTCAAGGACGGCGCCGACCTGACCTGACGAAGGTTGACCCGAACTATCCCAGTTGGGTACCCCTGGTTACGGGATCCGCACGTTCAGGTCACTTCACCAGACTTCGAATGCCCACCTGAGGGTCCCCTCGCACCGAGGCGAGACCGAACGAACACCGCGGACCGTTCCGCCGGTCTCCGGGGGACGAACGGTCCCCGGTCTGCGCGTGGAAGATGGAGCGAGGTCCGGTGGCGCTGGAGACACTCAGAGTGAAGCCCAAACTCGGTGTTGTGTTCAGCACCTAGCGGACCTAGCGGACCTAGCGGACCTAGCGGTTGGTTTAAGATTCCATCAATATGCACTTGGGACTCCTTGCGCAAAAGGTTGTTGGCCTGTATGAGCTGCACAGAACCGAGTGGATTTTTCCAAGGCAACATACCCAAGCCGCAAGCTGAAGGTAACACGCCGATCGAGATCGATCAACCTGAAGGAACACCAGCCCACGGTGCTAGAACAGACTCCCTGGACCCAAAGCATATCTTCCACCAAAACCACGGTGTCCGCAGTGGGTTCTCAAGAGCTCTGCTTGGTGGACTTCGGCCATGCGGTGTTCAAGTGTCGATGAGAAAGCCTCGAACAGTACCCAAACACAACGATCCAACCAGCGCAACTGCTCAACAACAAACATACCAAGAGTCACATGTCGGGGTTCGTGTTGAGTCCTTTATTAAGTGAGTGGGGCCAAAAAAAAAAGCACCCCTAAGCTGGCTCCATGGAATAGCACCCAACTCCATGGAACTGCACCCAACTCCATGGAACTGCACCCAACTCCATGGAACTGCACCCAAGTCCATGGAACTCCTGGTCTCCCTCCGAACTTTCGGACTGAACATCCGCTTCCTTCGCTGTTCTTCGCCTTTTCTCCCCACCTGCACTCCTCAGTCTCGATGTGCACTCTCCACGGGCTGCCCACCGATTGATCAATGGTCTCCAAGTCCCCCAGGGGCGGCAGCACCAGTTGCAGGCCCGTCTCTCCGGTACTGAGCGAAGCAGCCCAAAAGACTAACTCCGAAAGCCTTCGTTGCGAAAGACATAGGGCTGAAGACCAAAAAGGACAGACCAAACAACAGGTGTGTTGGTCGCTGGTGGCGCAGGGATGGCGCGCAGGGACGGCACCTGACGGCGTCATCCAAAAATAAGAAAAGGTTTCTGCAAACTCAACTTCCAACATCAAATTGCAAAGCGTTCTGCGCCCAACTGCTGGAATCAAACAATTGTAAATTGAAATGGTATAAACAACGTAACCCCCCCCCGAACTCCATGTTTGACACACCCAAACTTGGCCCCAACAAAGCTCCCTGTGTTTTTCTGCCGCGCTGCCACGGGTTGGGCAGCGAGACGTTAGCGGAGCGGAAGTCCAAGTGCAGCGTCTGGCACCTGCGCACGAGAGGCTCCAGGCTCCAAGACGGGGTCAGTTGGGTCGCGTGCATCACAGTCCCTGGCCATCCCACATAACCCACATAGTGGCCGGGCTGGGAGGGTTGTGGTAAGATCGCGAGTTGGATCATGAAAGGGCGTCAATTTGGTACCATCCATCATTATCCCCAAACACTGCATGGGACTGCCATATATGCCCTATATCAGTTGGGGTGGTTTCGGGGGGGTGAATGTCAGCATTATGGCAGTCCCATGGAGTGTCTGAGATCCTACATTGGTTGTAGACTCTGGGGGGCTGTTGCCTCTATCAATCAACCAAGCAGTAAGTCAAGGCCTGTCGTTCGAGTTCCTCGCTGCGTTCACGACCACCTCTGTCCCACCGAGTCGAGACTCGGGGTGGGAAGATCTGGACTTGGTGCCGGTACCCGGCTCTGACTGCCAAGAGAGGTTATAGTGACCTTATAGGACCCTACAGGGGTACCTATAGGATAGTCTATAGGTTCTTCAACCTCTGTTGGTGGTTATAGACTCTGGTTACGACAGATCGAAGCAGCCAGTGAAGCACCCCTCCAAATGTCTGGGCTCGGGCTTAGGGGGGGGAACTCCTGCTTCCATGGTCATATTGGATCGAATAAGAAACCCGAATCCGAAGACATAACACCAATGATCTTCAGTACTGCTACAGTAGTGGCTCCCTATACCCAAACGCCCCATCGCTGCACCTGAATCTTTGGTTCGTGATGCCAAATCCTTTGGAGACATCTCATCGGCCACTCGTCGAAGCAGGCTTTGAACATAATATAGCACAAACGCAACCCTGGACGAGGGAGTCGGACCCGAATCCTTGGGTCAGGGGTCCCACCGGAAGTAGGACTGTCTTCAAGGAGCGTCTGGGTCCAGATCGTAAATGCTCGATCGGACTGGAGATCGATCGCCGCCATTGGAACCACTCAAATGGATCGATAGGTGGGGTTTCAGTTGGTGAGAAATGGCACTGGCACCCGAACATGTATATTGAAATATTGGCAGTCCACTGTAAATAGTTCTGTCAGTCCCATAATTATAGATAGATCTAGAGTGTTTGGGATTTCTACCATCTAACTCACCTTTGGGACCGTAACGCTGACCAACACTTCCAGCCTGACTCCAGCTTCTTGTACTTTGGACAAAGTCCGACTGAATTGTCGGTAGAGGTTCTCCTTGGCTGTTGTGCGAGCTACGACTTGGCAAGACTCCCTCCAAATACGTAGATGATTAGATGTGTTTGATTTGTTTTCAGGGTTTAGTTTGGTTCAATCTCCTGCCCTATTTACAGGGATTTCCAGAAAGTCGGACAACACATCAAGGGCCAGCCCCTGTACCACACAGCTGCAAGGCCGCCAAAACTGACTCTCATCCTTAAAGTGTGCCTCCCCACTGATTAAACATATACCAGGGCCCCCTAAGGGGTGTCTAATTATAGCTCCTTAGAGGTTAAGGGGTATCCATTAACCACCCCTTAGGGGGCTCTGGTATATAGAGATTCTAGACCAGGACCCTCCGGTCGGTTCGGCTGTTTGGAGACCTGACCACAGGTGGGGCTTCACCTGGGCACCGGACGAACGGAAACAGGAAGCACCGAACTTGGAGGATGCTGGTATAGACTCTACCAGGACCCTCTAAGGGGTGCCCAATGGAAGCCTATAGGTAGTGTGGGGTAGTCCATTGGACACCCCTTAGAGGGTCCTGGTAGACATCTCTAGACGCTGACGAAAATGAGAAGCTTTCTGTTGGACCAATTCCAAGAACATGGTCCACCTTGTGTCCGCCGAGCGCCCGTTTGTCCTGGGAGTCTGAGTCTGCTTTCACAGGGGTGAATTTAGTCCGGACGGCCCAGGATGAAAGTCCCAAACCAGTGGATTGAGAGTAGATGGTGCAGGCATAGATGGCCAATAAACAAAACACTGGAAAATCACACACCCGCATAGCGTCCCGCTCTCTAAATCTACGGACATCTTGGCGGTAGTGCCATCTACTCTGAAACCACTGCAAACTGAACATCATGGCTGGGGTTGATGGATGCTGCTAAGAACCTGTAAATCCAAGCCACTGACCTGCTTCTTGCTGCATGACTCCCCCCAAATCCCTTGGGTCTTTTCTTTCATTTCTCAAGGCGGTCCACGCCCCCAAAATACAAAAAACCTCAGCTGCGAAGTCGATTCATCCCAAGTGTCTCCAAAGAAATCTTCCGAATACCAGCCATCCACGCTGAGTTCCGGCACCGCCGGCGCGAACGGAACAAGTCCGTCCAGGGGAGCTAAGCGCAGGCGAGTGGTGCTCACCAGGCACAGCCACTTGCCCATCGACAGGAGCCCTACCCATGCGCACGACCAGATGCGAGACTTGAAGTGTAGGGCCTGGTTAGGGGGGGGCCCTGGCTCATTGACTTCTCTATGTTCCGAACGGGTCAAACTGGGAGGTCTCTATTTTCCGAACTGGGAGCTACAGAACCACATGTGTCCAGTGTGGGCCTCCCTGTACGAAAGAGACACCAAAATTTGCGGGTGTCCAGTGGGATGCGGACATTGAAAAAGACGTGCTCGAGATCTGACCTCCTCACTTTCCCTGGAAAATAGTGGTTCACCTAACTGTCCAACTGTTCTTGTTTCAGGTTCTCCACGTACTTCTTGGGGATCGAAACAGGTCGAAACCATGCGAAACCATGCTCAATGCTCTTCGCTGGTTCGCTGGTTCGCTGGGAGGGTTCTCCAAGGAGTGACAAAACCATGAAAAAACCGAGCATTTGGGTGTATCTGGTAGTATCTCTGGTGTATCTGGTAGTACCGAGCATTTGGGTGTATCTGGAGTGTAGGGTTCTCTGGTAGTGGAATTTGAGTGTATCTCACTACCAGATACAGTGGATGATGATGGTTCGGTTGCAGGCCTTGGCCTTTCAAATAATGAAAAATAGCGCTGCTCTGGTTTACTGGGTTACACCCGAGCATGGAATGATGGATGTGGTTGATGGATGTGGTGCTCGGCTTGGGGCTTGGTTTTGGATGGGACCAGGTTGGTGTTCAACGTTTTGCGGCCAGGTCAGGGGTGAGCGATCTCGTTGCTCCAGATCCATGCTGCACATGCCATGTTTTTCCTCACTAGGTGATGGGCCAAAGAAGGCCACGCCAGCTGCGGAGCGGCGGAGAGCCAATCTATGGTCACTTCATGTCACTTCATCTTTGTGGCGGCTCCTGTCTAAAGCAAAGGGATCTTCACCTACCATGGTTTAGACATGATTGGTCTATTTCACCACTTTGATGGTGCTGGACCGCTGGAGGTCTAGTTTTGCGCCACCCTTCCGGTTTGTAGATGCTTCGAGGAAAGGACCTGTCGACGTGTTGTGATGGTATCGTGAAACCATGAGGATCCACGGGATGTCCTGACACGTATAGTAGACAACTGATCTGGCACGATCTTGTAATTCTTACCATTTTAACTACTAGAACGCATACAAATAATCCTGTATGAGTTATTGTCTCGCAAGCACCTTATGTCACAAAATGTTTGAATCCCGAACCCGCAACATGCAAGATTTAAGCCTCAACCTCTTAACCTTATTGCATCCGAAGCTTGAAATCCCCAAAGGCTCCCTGCATGCACATTCCCATGGGACAAAGACAAGCACCCAACATCAGGGGCCCCACAAACCACAAACAACAAAAGTGCTGATGGCCCCACCATGTTGCATGAATATCTGGGTGATGTGGCATAACTTGTACACATCCACCGAATCCGCCATGTTCTTGACATCCACCATTATCTGGGCAATCTCTGTGCTGTCAACATCATTGTGTAGGGTGCCTAGTCCGAACAACCTTCACCTGCTGTGAGGAGCTGCAATTTTTGGATTTGCTGCCCGCCTGCCCAACATGAACTCAAGTTCATCTCACCTCAAGATCCACCTTCCTAGTTGAATGATCTTATCATATATCTCAACAAGATCTCCAACTTTCCCGCCCCAAACGATCACCCACATCTCAGGCAACAAACAGAGAGAGAGAGAGAGAGCCAAAGTGCGAAGAAACATACACGAAAACACACGCAAAAGTGTAGAACCTTGACTAAACCACCCCATTTGAAATCGTATGAAGAGGTTTTACAGTCCAAATGGAGCGGCTTGATTCATCCAGCTTCTACATGTCATCTGAGAGCGGCACGGTGAGAGCACCAATGGTGTCATAGAGCAACAAGAAGCTGCTGACCAGGCCCCAGAGGCATACCATGGTGATATCCAGACCTGCACGGTTATATGACGTGGCTCAGAAGCGCGTGCACTAATTTTTTTTGCGCAA